ATCACAGAGTGCATTTGTCATGTATTCATTCTTTTAACAAGCAACTGCTAGCCAGAAGTTTGTAGACACCCACATTTATTAAGAGGTACCTTGAAAATAAGGCTTGGCATGCTATTTCTGAAAAAAGTCAGCCCTTAAAATCCCTATGGAGCATTGTTCTACTCTAACATGCACGGGGTCAACCACACGTCACACTCCATTCCACCGCCATTGGTTGATTGGTTAGGTGGCTGATTCTACAAATAATTCCTGAGCTTCCAAAGACACTGGGCAGTTCAGAATACATTTATTTTAGCTGGTGCTCTTCTATACATTTGTATTTCAATGAACCCCTACAGTGCCTTCAGAAAATGTAAATTCATTCCTCAAATACTTAACAGACCACCTGAAGACATCTGGAACTTCCGCTGTCGCGCTCTGAGCTCTTGTGAGCTGGGAGACATCAGGCGTCATACTTCCTATCATTTGTTGTCTCAGAACTATGAATAGTACATTTTTGGCAAATATTATTTAAATTAGGACGGCTCCCTGGAAATGAGGGCTGTTTGGGGATCACACCCAATGACTAACCCTGAGTTTCTATCATTAGGGTGCATATTATTCTTTGCCATTTGGACACGGATTTGAGACATTTGTGCCAGCCAGCGAAAAAGCTTGGATATATGCAGGGCATGTATTGACTGTGGAACTAGATCATCATGATTCACGAATACAGGCTGAGATCCTTAAACTTTGTTCTAGAAAAGCCTCAGAAACAGCAGCACAGAAAGCAGAAGGCATTCATACATGTCACAGCTATGTGGCATATTAGACCTGGACTAGGAGCGAGCAAAGGAAAAACAACTTTTACAGACGCACGGTCCCCTATGCCGAACATTGATGGTGGCTGGGACCTGGAGCAAAGTAGAGACAGAGACAGACGTATTTTTCCCCATAGACTTTTAAAGTAATAAATTATGAATTATGCTCCAACAGATAAAGCAGCGAGGGAATTAATTTCCGAGATGAGGTCTATTTTGTAATTCAGAGAGCTGTTTTATTTTAATTTGGGAGAAAATTACATTTTGAGGTTCGGCTTTATGAAACCTCTTTCTCTGAAAAGAGCCTCAGTTTCTCATAGTTGCTGCAAGGTGTCCTATAGGATGTTCACGGCAAAGGTCAGAGGGTACGCTATCCGCTCAGCCTTTACCAACTGGAAGAGGACAGTCCAGAAGTTGTCTACAGTATGGACGTTATATACATACATCATCCAGCATGGAAGCCACACGTGGCTTCTGAACACTTGGAAGGTGGTTAGTGTGATGGAGGAACTGAACTTGAATTTAATTCAACTGGATTTTATTTATTTAAATTTAAATACCTCGCAGGGCTGCTGATTGCTGCATTGGCCTGGGTCGTCTTTACAATCAAGAGCTGGGGAAGCACCTTGGTCCACTCTCTCAGTCAACCAAACCCAGCTACGGGCTATGCTTCGTACATGAGCCCCGTGAAACCTTACCACCCCTGGCTGGCCAGCCTCAAAGGTGCTCTGCGCAAAGCTCATGGGACGTTGTTGGTACAAATGTGCAAACGCATCAGATAAAAAGGAACTGAAAATCAGACCAGTGGGTGCCCACCTTCCTGATACAATCACTGAAGACAAAGGTGTGCATAAGCAAAGGTGGTGAAGAAAGCTGATGGTGCCTGGCTATCAAAAGCTATAGCGTCTGGGGTCTTAAAGGCTT